TTTTTTTTGAAAGGGACATACATATATTATTTTCAGTATTTCCAATACAAATATTATCATCTTATAAAATTGCTATCGATCAAAGATGAGATCTTAATAAAGATATTTATTAAAATGTGAGTACGAAGATGAGTATTGCAAGTACTTTATCATCATAACTTTTAACCGTAATATAATTTATATATTAAAAGTGATTTTTATCATAATAATTATGTACCTACCAAAAATGTGAGTACACGTCTATGTTTGTTCTTTCTCCAAAAATAAAGAAAAATCAATATCAGGCCTATGATGCTTATGTACCTACCAAACAAGAGCAGAGAATTGAGATTTGATTTATATACTGTTTCTCGTTAGTTAAACATAGGTCACATCCAACAGTGTCACAGACAAACTCGAAAATATCCTATTGTCTCGCATTATCGCATAAACCAAAACCAAGATGCTATCCGATCAAATTCAAAGCCAAGAATAAGCATTACTCTTGTTCTATTATTGTGGGTCCATATTGGGCTACGGGAGGTCGAAGATCCATGGCATTACAGGGCCTCATATTTTTAGCATTCAACTTAAGGCCCGTATTCGATATTTGACACCACACGAGTCTCGTGGGCCCCTTTAGCATCCGTGAAACAACTATGTCTTACAGTTCCAAGCATGGATGCTGTCCCCAAGAGTATGTTGTTGTGTCTACATACTACACTCATGTTGGGCCCTTTGTTACCCCTTGGTGAGGCAAATATGGGCCCAATAGGAATGGGACCACCTTCCTTAATAATGAAGCCCAACTAGATCTTAAGGCCTGTGACCCAAACAAAAGAAAGGAATTAGACCTAAACAACTTATCTTGATGCTGTTTACACAGCTTAACATCTCCATCAAGTTGTTTTGATCACACATCATTTGCTAGATATTACATTATTATGCGAGAAAGAACCATTAACTTGATGACTTGTTTGAATTGGATTTTGTGAGATGGAGAATCAAATTTCTCCGCCCAAAGAGACTTAGAGAGTAAAAACGGCTTGCCTAAGTTGCGTAACAATTTTAAATTGCGCGTCTCTGGGGACCTTTAACACTTAATAAACCATGTTGCATTAAAATACTATGCCCTCAGATCAATGCAACGATTTAAATATTAACACCTAAATTGTGAAAAGGAAGAGGGGGATTGGGGGAAGGGGTTAATACTTTTGGAACATATTTCGTGTCAAAATAAATTAATGCCTACGACTTTTTGACAATACGGAAAATAAGGAAGGTGCTGCAATGCATATCCTATATATTATAGATTTTTTTTTTGTTACTAAATGCATATCCATTTTGATGTCGAGTATGAGTATGACTTTGATTAGGACAAATTCCACCACTATTATTTTCTTTCACTTTTATTATATAGGCAAATGTTTAGTAGTAGTGTCTAACGAGTCAAAAATAAAAATTAGTTAAACTTACTCATATATTCTGAATATGATTTTTTTAAAAAAATTTATCACAATTTCTAAAAAAATATTATTAATTCTTTAACGAAAGACTGATAAAGAAGACCATTTAAAGTATCTTCAATATCAATTAATGAATTATAATAATTTTTTTTTGGACCAATTCCCAATCCGCAATCTCTCATGGAGGGAGCAAAACAAACAAAATCTATCATCCCCACTCTTCAAAGGTGCAAGATACACGCTTCTTTTAGGTCTTACCAACAGGCAGTTCCCAATGGACACTTACATATAATTAACAAAATGTTCCTACAAGTAGAATTTGATTTTCAATGAGGTACCCTATAGTATGATTAAATAATTATACATTGTTCCCCCATTTGGCTGTATTCTAAATTAAAAGAGGTTTCTAATATAACAACAAAAAAAGGTCTACGTGATTAGATTTTATTAGTAACGATGTGATCTTTCATTTTCTTGTTTACGTACAATTATTAATAAGTTGTTCCTTTTTCAGTTTTTGGCAGGTCTAATTAATGAGTTGGGTTACCCTGGTTGACAATTGCCTTGGATTATATTCCATTTATTTGGAGGTTTCTTTTTCTTTCTTCTTTGGGTAAAATTTGTTTGGAAGCTTAATTAAAATCAGTGTTGCTGAATGTTTATTTAAATATATATACTTTAGAAATAGTGTCATTTGTAGCAATGAAAATTCGGAGTGAAAACATTGGATTGTATTCCTCGTGTGTCTGGTATTATTGATGTAAACATGAAGTGGGAGGTAAGGTAATGTGCATTGATGAAACATTGTTGTGTTTCTTGACTTTGATAGAGTGTGTGTTAATTAATAAAGATGGTGTTCCCTTTTGTGTCCGCAGGGATCCATGTGCGATCTATAGAGGACTATCATCACTCTTACACTCGGGATGTTATGCAAGCCAATAATGTGCTTCACGTCAGATATATAGCAAATCAACTTCATGGCACACTCCTACTAGTTACTTTTGTTGAAAGAACCAACATGGATTTATAAATTTAAGTAAAACTGATACAGGTATATTTTTCATGAAATAAAACAAAATACATGGTATTTTATGTTTTTCTCTTTTATTTTTCATTGTCCAAAGGAGAAGGGATTGTTAATCCTACATTATTATTTCCCATCACCCAATTGATGGCCCAAAATTAAGTGCAGAATGCCAGACACAAATTGCTATGATTAGTTTAATGTCATTGATTGATCATCAGCAGGCGTAATGATAAATATCATGGAAATTATTAGGTCCCAGTCCAGATGCTATATCATACAGAACGAGTAGCATATGAAGTACATTGGCACTCCAGGGTGTCATGCGTTTTAAAATTATATAAACAGGAAGAAAAATGGCATAAAAAGAATCAATTAAGTATTTTTTTTTTTCATAAAAAATGAAGTATGAAGAAAATTGATATATATAAATGTGACAGTGTTAAGATGAAGATGAAGGTAATTGGATTTTGACATTATTTGAGCGTGGAATTAGAGAAAATGGCATAGAAAGTAGAAAGCACTAAAGAGGGGTTTAATTTGATACGAGTAATAAGAAAGAAAAAGGAAAGCAAGGGTGGAAATAGAAAAGGTGGTGGAAGAAAAAGTCAATAATGTCCTTGGCGTATTGTCGCTGTCTAAGTCCTCCTATGTGCAATTGGAAAGGCCCCACTCTGGTTCCCTCTTGACTTGAGTCTTGAGTCCGCAGTGGGCACGCGCGCAAAGCCAAGTGGTTCTTCACTCGTACAAAATAGAAATATAATTTGAAGAAAGGGGGTGGGTGTGGATGAATGTGAATGTGAATGTGAATGTGAATGTGAATGTGAATGTGAATGTGTGAGGCATGGATGTGGGGAGACTGTTGTGGCTGTGGGTGATAGCGATCCCGGGGACGTTATCAGATCCGAGCGACGAGGCATGCCTTTTGCAGCTGAGGAAGTCATTGCAGGATCCAAACAAGGTGCTCCAGAACTGGAGGGAAGAGAACTTGGCGAAGCCCTGCAACGACTCCACATCAAATCTGCAAGGAGCCATCTGCAACAATGGGCGGATCTACAAGCTGTCGCTGAACAACCTGTCGCTGGGAGGCACCATATCGCCCTTTCTCTCCAACTGCACCAACCTCCAGACCTTGGACCTCTCTTCCAACTTCCTGACAGGCCCAATCCCCCCGGACCTCCAGTCTTTGGTGAACCTGGCTGTCTTGAACCTCTCCTCCAACCGCCTCCAGGGGCAGATTCCCCCGCAGCTCACAATGTGCGCCTATCTCAACATCATCGACTTCCACGACAACCAACTTACTGGGCCTATTCCTCAGCAATTGGGCCTCCTCGTCCGTCTTTCCGCTTTCGACGTCTCCAATAACCGCCTCTCCGGGCCCATACCCCCCTCCTTGTCCAACCGCACCGCCAACTTGCCCAGATTCAACGCCTCTTCCTTCCTTCGGAATAAGGATCTCTACGGTTACCCCTTGCCGCCCTACAGAAAACAGGGTTTGTCCATTTTGGCCATTGTTGGGATCGGATTAGGTAGTGGCCTTGCTAGCTTGCTCCTTAGCTTCACCGGGGTTTGTATTTGGTTGAAAATCACTGACCGCAACATCGCTCTCCAGGAAGCCAAAATCACCCACCTTATGCCTGATTATTGAATTTAATCACTCTTCTTCAATTATTCAATTTTTATTTTTATTTTTATTTTTATTTTTATTTATATATCTTCTTCTTTTTTTCTCATAACCATCAACTGTTGTGTATTATTACTACTATTATTAGCTTGGAGATTGGGTTGATTTTGCTAATTTGACATGATTCGGTGGGTTGGCACTTGGCACTTGGCAGGAGAGTAGGGTAGGTTAGTGGATGAAGCGCTGCGCCGTTCAAGGTTCAACTGCAAACTTGTCTGCCAGTGTGCTAAAATATATATATACAAACAGGCACAGCTGGTGGAGTATCATTTTCTTTTTATTATTTTTATTTTTATTTTTATTGTGCCCTGTTTTTCTCACATTATCGGAGCTACTGGGGTCACCAACATGGATTGGGACTTGTCTTCTCCTGGAATCACTTCCTCTTGTTCACTTCTTACTTCTTAGTCCAACATCAACTAGTCAACCTTGTCATTTACAACCTTAACCTATGCCTCCCTTAGTTTATTATTCTTTTTAAACCATGCAATGCAATGCACTATACTTATCATTTTTTTACAACCAACCAAATTAGTCATAAATATTCTCTAACTATTCTCTGTAATGAAATGGTAGTATTATTTTTTATATTTAATGGTACTTTTAAGAATCATGATGTTGGACAAAGTGTGAACATAAATTAAAATTTACAGCCATAAAGTAACGAGAGGTTAAAGTGAATCTAGTGCTTTCCATAATTATGGTCAGTGGCCAGTGGGTTCCTTGTTTATTTGCTACACTACCTCCTATTCTTCTTTTTATTTTTTACTTACTCTCTAGTCTCTCAGGCCTGCTTTCTCTTCGCCTACAACCTAAGTGGGCCTAGGCTCGTCACTTGAGTTTCGGTTTTTTTCATAAAGTCACTGTTATCCAGAATCATCTCATTATAACAAAAAAAAATGTAGAACCATCTCATGTACTTTGCTTCCATTTCTAACAAACGGACACTATATTCTTGTTTCTTTAACTACATTCCGTTATTCAGGGAGGAAAATGCATGTTTCGATAATTTTTTAAAATCACGTCTTTCTTCACTTTTACGCAGAAGCTCCCTTTATTAGCTTCAAATCACCACCTCAAGTAAGAACTCCTGCTCTTATAGTTATAAGGTGATGAGTTTGAAAATATGCTAGAATGGCGTTTAGCTCAAGTTGAAGTTTTGACTTTCCAATGCATAAACAGAAAATTCATGTTAGTGAGGAATTGAGTGCATATTTGATTCCACATCTACCATCTATGTTTAAAGAAAAATTACATTAAAATTAATAATATAAAAGCAACTAATTGTTCCTTTCACTTATTTATATTTAACCAAAAGTAATATGAATTCAAAAATACCTCGAGTTGAATGTGGAACTGTAATCCAAATGGCATCCTTACATGTTGAAAAAGTAATGCTATTTATAAGTATTTGATAGAATGTAAATGCAATTTGTCAAAATTCAATGATTAATAATATTATAATTAAAAATTAATTATAGTGAAGATTGTAGGATTCATTCCTGTTAAGATGCACTAAAGAGAGTACCTCACACATATTTATATTAGTTTAATATTATTCATTTTGAACTTATGTCCTTATGACTGTATTTTTTATTCTTTCAAAAAAGCTCTATATATATAAAATATATATATACTTTATAAATTTATGTTTATCTTCTTCTTTTTTTTTGTGATGTGGGACTTTGATTATATATTTAACTATTCAAATTAATCATCTTTTGAATCTCATTTTTCTTTTATTTCTCATTATTGTCTAGCGGAAAAGGAAGCATTTAATGTATGAGAGTTGTCAAAGTGGATTTATATAGTATTAAACAGTAGGCATTAAATTTAGATTTTTTATAACAAGCATGATATATCGAGCAGTTACTCTGATTAGTAGAAGATGATGATGATTAATTTAATAGTTTTTAATAAAATTTATTGAATTAATTGAATGTCAATGCGACAAGAGACCCAATTTTAGAACACACTAACGTGGTTGTGTGACAGGATTAAGTTGCTCCTGTTCCAAAAACTGGGGAGAAAAAAATTGAGAATAAACAAACATTTTATAACTGAATAAAATTAGAGCAAGATGGGAGTAGCAATAGCTATCTTGGATATGTATTGCTAAACTTGTCTATTTTGAGAACAAACAACAAATCATAGTGATGATAGCGTTGATTGGTGTATAAAATAAAATATATTGAAGGAACACCGAAAGTGAGATGAGTCAAAGGTGCTTTCATTCCGTTCATTAATGGGTTCTCCGAGATTGGCATGAATGTGATGATGGAGCTGGGCCCGTAGCCCCCACCCATGTTGCTTGGTTTTATGTTATTATTCTAAAAGTTGCAGAGGATATTTTGGCCTAGCTAGCTAATGGAATTTCATCATTGTCACTTGCTCCTTCTACTTGCTACCATCACAAGGAAAGTGCACCTGCTTTTAATCATCTCTCGCTTTCCGCTTTCTTAACACCTGCCATTGTGCCCCAAACGCAGGGAGATGTGATGATCATGATATGCGTGATTTCAATCACCCTCCTTATTTTATAACGTACTCACTCACCCATCCATGCACTTGCCAATTCAAAACTTGGTCTTTTCCTTTTATTTTTCTACTTCTCTAAAAAGTTTATAATTTTACGTAATCATGCGTATCAATCTAGGTGCCCTTAACCTTAAGTAGGATATTAAATTTGAATAGTGAGTGAAAAACGGTGATAGTATGTAATTACCTTTAATTACTTGACTCGATTCCTAGTAGTGATTCAATTGGATACGTACTAGGGGTCTTCTTAACCAAATTACGTAGTTCAATTTTCTATTCAGTTTAAACTTTACATATGTGACGAATATTTATCCAGCACCACTAAATGTTCAAGGATTTTGGTTGGCATTTTCACCAAATCTGCTACGATGTTTAATTGTTTATGACTTTCACGGCGCAAATTATGAAGTAACACTGCAGTGATTTTTTTCACTGTAATACGTCGTGTAAAAGTAAGAACTACTGCGGTGTCTCCTTTGTCAAAACGTTAAAGGCTATCATGGATGATTGTTGAATTGGTTTTTTTACAAAGAAACTGCATCATATCATTTGCAAGTTTTCTCTTATCATTCAATATTTGAATGGTTATTAGTCTATCCCTAATATTAAGAGCACCTTTATTTGTGGAATCGTTTTTTTTTTCTTTTTCTTTTCTCTCTCATTATTTACTATAGGGAAAACAAATATTAACATATTTTTTTAACATCTCCATCACCAATGCGGAAACTCAATAAATAAATTTAATTTAGTATTTCTATATTAAAAAAATTACCTTTTGTATAATATTATATCATCTTCATTACCATAACTCTATTAAAAAAATCAATGAATTAATAATCAAATTTAGTAACAAATCGCCTTTTTTCTTATTATTGGGTTATAAAAATTTTAATGACCATAATTTTAAAAAAAAATTACATACATTGTTTCATCACCAATTGTATGTTTTTCTTGTAATGATTTCTTTAAATAAATAAAAAAAAAAAAAAAAAAACATGTAAGAACTTGTTTTTTCTGCAAAAGGAAACGAATTGCGGTCAACAATGGAGAATTCACATGATGAAGAGAGCTCACAAACAAAATCCACTTGTACAACAGAACGCTTATCTCATTGCACCAAAGTTGGTCTGCATTGAACATGAGGAGGGGATAGACTATTGTCTAAAGTTTTCTTGGATGATCGAATTATAAGGATTTATGTAGTCTTTGCTGAGGTGCTTTTGTTGCTCTCGTGATCTTGGAAAAGACTTGATTTTAACATAAGGTTTAATAGTTATAAAATATTAGTTATTATAAAAATCAATATATATATTACTTTGATGTCAATGAAAAATTAGTTTACATTAATAATGCATTGTCCTTTTTCTTTAACATAATAAGGATAAGCTAAAAAAATTATGACACCTACAAAGTTATATATATCATGTATGTGGATAATGACACTTACCTGGTAAAATTTGACACGACGATGACAGAGAAAGGATAATGGAGGTTTGGATAACTTTTTTATCATAACTGATGAAGATCCAACTTAGCAATCATAAACTAGAGCTCAAATTTTGTCTCTTCTACAACAAATGTTAAGCATATATTGGCGTGGATCAAGTTTTTCGTTCTAAATTTGGCATATTATGATGAAATAAGAGTTTTCTACTAGCTAGGACGCTAGCAATGAGGAAGCTAGAAAAGGTGGATAACAACATGTTGAAGATGGAAAAGTATTAGGATTGGTGTTGATAACATCTGCATTTGGAATTATTATTATTATTATTATTATTATTATTATTATTATTAATTTTAAGAGTTTGAATGTGATATATCTTCTCTTTTGTAGATTTTACAAATACAGAAAAGTATAAAACTTATTTTGATAATTATGATTTGTTCGTACCATTATTAATGGATTTTATTTTCAATAAAAAAAATTCAAAGAAGTTTTTGTTTATTTAATTTTTTAGGAAATTTCTTAAACTTAAATTAATTTATTATTGGACAAAAGTTTTCTTTTTTGGTGATAATACTTGTATTAAAAAGACTGATTGTTGGAATTTAAATATTTATGTACCGTGTGAAAAAATTATTATGCAAATGACTGATTAAACCAAATAAAATTAAGAATTGGTGATAAGTAAAATAAATTTGGTCTTGGGATTTATTTTCAAAAAAAAAATCATTCATGATATATACATCTCTTCAAATTTTTATTTTTATTTTTTTTATAAATATGTCTTTTTTTATTTAAGTTAAGTCTTTAAAAAAAATCTATTAATTTGTTAATTTTACATTTTCAATTTTCAATTTTACATCTTCAACTTTCAATTTAGTATTTTTCCTTTTTTTTTCACACACCTTCTTTCCTCTTTTCAGTTTTTTCATGGATTCTCGTACTTTCTTCTCAACTTCACTTATTTCGGTAAATAGTCTTAATTCTTTCAATTTTAATATCATCATCTTCCTCCCTTCCTTTTTTAGTTTTTACACTATTATCCTCCATATGTTTTTTTCAGTTTTCACATGCACTCGTTATAGAATTCATGAGTAATGACATTGTAGGCGTGTTTGGCTTCTTTGACAGTGTCAAGAGTATTGAACGAAATGTGCATTTTTTTTCCAAGTGCTTTCTTTCCTTTCACACTTTTGGAAAGCACAAAATTAGATTTAATTTTTTGAAAAATATTTTATGAGACATTAATTTGAGTGTTTCGAAAAATACTTTCCAAAATATTAAAATTAGTGTCCTGAAAAATATTTTTTAGAAGTGTGTTTTTTGTATGTTTTCGAAAAAACACTAAATTTACTATTTTAAAAAGAACTTTTTAAAGTTATGTAAAAAAAAAATACTTATAGAAAGTATTTTCTAGAACACCGATTTTATTATTATTTCAAAAAAATATTTTTTAGAACACTAAA